TATACCCCAAATCAACGTGTTCAAACCATTCATCCACCCACCCCTCCCCACCCCATCCCACACCACCCATCCACCCTCACCCTACCCCACTCACCATCCACTCCAAATCACCCCTCTCAACCCATCCACCCACCCCTCCCCACCCTATCCCACATCACCCATCCTCCTTCACCCCACTCACCATCCACCACCAAATCACCCCTCTCAACTCACACATCCACCCATCCCTCCCCACACCCCAACCCCCCACCCCATGCCTTCCCCCAAATCCACCTGTATTTCGGATTTGTCAAAAGTGAGTTCACCACTTACCGTGACTCGATTCCTCCCATCCGACAGTTGACTGTTTACTCCATTAGTTACTCCAGGCGGTTTGTTACTGCTCTCTCCAACAGCCGATCTACTCCCAGTACTTGCACTTGCAGGTAATCCGGTTCCGCGAGTCTTATCCGGTTCTGATGATCCGGCTCCTCGGGGTTTACCCGGTTCTGATGACCCGGTTCCTCGAGTCTTTTCCGGTTCCGATGACCCGGTTCCTCGAGGTTTACCCGGTTCTGAACTTGAGGTGGTGGTTGTTGGAGGACAAACGGAAGTGACGGTGATGTTAGATAACGACGACGATGATGGCGATGAAGCGGTAGATGGCGACGGGATGAACTTTGTTGGAGGTGGGGAGCTTTCAATCGTCTTGTTTCCTTCTCGCTTTTTCGAATTATCAGCCGCTGGAAGAGTGGAGGGCGGGGGGACTCTCCTACTGAGCGTAGGTGTAGAAGAAGCACTGTGGGTCCCTTTATTCCCGGCTGCTGCAGAACCGGTAGTTCGATTCCTCCCCCCTCCACCAATACCACCTCCACCAACACCACCACCACCACCACCAACGCGGGAGTTTTTGGGCGACACAGCGATCACCGAGTGTAGCGTCTTCTTGTCGTGACTCGCAGACGACCTCCCGAGTCCGGTTCTGGAGATTTGTGGTGACGGAATACCACTACTTCCTCTTCCGGTGGACGCCGCCACGGGAAGTCTGCTTGACCTAGGGGAGGCCACTGTGCAGTTGGCCATATTCATCGGGGCTGCTTGGTGATTGGTTCACTCAGCACCCGGTTCTGATACAGATACGGGTTTTCCCGCTATTACGTGAGAGTCATAGTGTGAGTATTATAACAGCGCCAGAGGTTTTCGGTTATTGTTCTGTGTGAGTACACCTTTAGACTCTAAGCATGAGAGGGAAATAAAGTACTTCAAATATCAATAAAACTTTCAGGTCTCAAATATACCATGTACCAAGAACTTTAAAATCATGAGAGTATTAAAACAGCGTCATAGGTTTTCGGCTATTGGTCGGTGTACATACACCTTTGGGCTCTATATATGTGCAAATGAGATAAAGTACCGTACTTTAGATGGTAATATAACTTATCGGTCTTAAATGAAAATTGTACCAAAAACTTTAAAATCATGTGAGTATTGTAGCAGGGTCAGAAGTTTTCGGTTATTGTTCAGTGTGCGTACACCTTTGGACTCTATGTGTGAGAGGAAAATAAAGTACCGTACTTTAAATGGTAATATAACTTGCAGGTGCAAATAATATTTCTCGTATACGAGGTACCAAGAACTTTGAAATTGAGCTCTCAAACGATCCCGTATGCTTTTTTAAATAAAGAGCATTTTAAAAAATTATTCAAATGCTTTTTATTTTCCTTTTTCTTTTCTTTTTTTTTTTTTTTGGGGGGGGGGGGTAACTTATCGAATGTTAAACAATTGATGCAAGTATAAGATCCAAGTACAAGTATAAGATCAATAAACAACCGATAAAAAACTCAACAACAGTAACGGAAACAGCACTTGCAGCAATGGCAATCACAAGGAGATATTGTGATGGAAAACTCTTCATGCCTCCACCTGTTCTTTTTTGTCTCCTCTTTCTCTCCTTCTGTCTTTTTCTCATCCTCTCCTTTTCTCTCTCTCTTTCTCTCTCTCTCTCTTTCTCTCTCTCTCTCTCTCTCTCTATCTATCTATCTATCTACCTATCTATCTATCTATCTACCTACCTACCTACCTATCTATCTATCTATCTAACTTTCTCTCTTTCCTTCTCTCTCTCTGTCTCTTGCTCTCTCTTTCTCTCTCTCTCTATCTCTCTCTCTCTCTCTCTCTCACACACACAC